TGTCAAACGACTTTCACACATACGCGTGTTATATATATATATATATATATATATATATATATATATATATATATGTATATATTATATACATGTATACCTATATATGGTAATCTTCTATATTACGTCCGCATAACCGATATCGACGATTTTGGTATCGTTGGATTCCTCTCACTCTCCACATTGCAAATATATAGTTTTTATTGCGCGGAAACCCCCGTTAGCGACAAACTTAGCCCCGATAGCAGGGGAGGGCATGGAAGGTTCCAGGGAAAATGCAGGGTTAAATATCATTAATAATATAACACACAGTTAAAATGACCATGGTTATTCACATAACTTTCCATTGCAGGGGCTGTGCCCCCTGCGACCCCCCTGGGGGGGCTACCGCCCCCCAACCCCCGCCGAGGAAACAAAACCTCCACCGCGCAGCCCCCTGCAATGGAAAGCCATGTCATAATGGAAAGTCATAATCAAAAACCATGATTATTTTCACTGTGAGGTTATATTATTAGGGTAATTTTATATATTACGTCCGCCGCTCCGACATCCTCGCCCCCGCTATCGGGGCCAAGTTTGTCGCTAACGGGGGGTTTCCGCGCAATAAAACCTATATATTTGCATTGTATAGAGTGAGAGGAATCCAACGATACCAAAATCGTCGATATCGGTTATGCGGACGTAATATAGAAAATTACCTATATATATATATATATATATATATATATATATCACATATATATATGTGTATATATATATATTCACATATATATATATATGTATATATATGTATATAATATGTATATATGTATATATATGTATATATATATATTTACACACACACATATAATATATATACATATATATGTATATATATATATATATTCACACACACACACACACACACACACACACACACACACGCACACACACACACCACCAACACACACACACACACACACACACACACACCACACACACACATATATATGTATATATATATATATATATATATATATATAAAATATATATATATATATCATACACACACACACACACACACACCACACACATATATATATATATATATATATATATATATATATATATATATATATATATTATATATATATATGTGTGTGTGTGTGTGTGTATATATATGTCCAGTAATTCAGGTGAAGCATATCTTTTACCTAACAAAAGATCCTTGTTGACATTTTCTACGTAGGTTAGCAACATAGCCAACGGCCTAAACTCTTGGATTATCTGTTCGTATGATATAGGAAATATTTCTTATATTTAGAACCCTAACCCTATTTTTTCATGATCGAAAGTTTTTAATCTTGCGTTTATTAGTTCTTTACTATATAATCTACAATGGACAGGCCTTATATTTGCAGCTGTATTTTCCTGTCAATTTTTTTTAGATTCTAGCTATACATAAGGGTATTCTAGAGATAGATAAGGGTACATAGACAAGTAGAAAGTAACGGGAGCGGGGGAGGGAGAAGGAAGAGAAAAAAGAAGAGAGCTAGAACACACACACAGGAAGAGTGAAGATAGATAAAGATGACTTTTTGATGTTGAACACCAGAAAGACGAGAGGACACAACAAAAAGTTGAAAGTAAAAGGAGGTGATAAAGATGTCAAAATATTTAGTTTTCCACACATAACTACTGAAGCATGGAACAGTCTCCCCCGAAAACGTAGTGTGTGCCCACAAATGTACATCAATTATAAAAGTTATACAACAATTTGAATATAGCAGACGGGACCACCCGAGCTTAGCTCTTCTCCCGTATTGAAACAACTAGGTAAGAACACACACACACACACACACACACACACACACACACACACACACACACACACACACACACACACACAACATATATATATATATATATATAATATATTATAATATATATATATATATAAAATAATATATATATGATGTTTATTTACATAAATATATACATATCTTCATATACACACACACAAACACACACACACACACACACACACACACACACACACACACACACACACACACACACACACACACACACATATATATATATATATATATATATATATATATATATATATATATGTGTGTGTTGTGTGTGTGTGTGTGTGTGTGTGTGTTGTGTGTGTGTGTGTGTGTGTATGTATATATACACACACACACACACACACACACACACACACACACACACACACACACATATATATATATATATATATATATATATATATATATATATATATATATATATATATATATAACACACACACACACACACACACACACACACCACACACACACACACACACACACACACACACACACACATATATATATGTATATATATATTTATATTTATATATATATATATATTCATATATATATATATAATATATATATATATATATATATATATATATATATATATATATATGTGTGTGTGTGTGTGTGGTGTGTGTGTGTGTGTGTGTTCA